CTCTCTCTCTCTCTCTCTCTGCGCGCGCGTGTGTGTGTATGTGTGTGTGTGCGTGCGTGTGTGCGTGTGTGCCTGTGTGTGTGTGCGCGCGTGCGTGCGTGTGTGTGTGCGTGTGTGTGTGTATGTGTGTGTGTGCGTGCGTGCGTGTGCGCGCGTGCGTGCGTGCGTGTTTGTGTGCGTGCGTGCGTGCGTGCGTGCGTGCGTGCGTGCGTGCGCGTGTGCGCGCGCATGTGTGTGTACAGTAAAGTAATTTATCAACCAACCCTTTCATTGAGGATAACTCACGTAAATGATCGCATACAAATCTTTTACCGGCGTATTCTTTGCTGTGATCCACGACCACACAGATAGAGACAACATGGTTCATTAATGAAACTCCATTAACCATCATTACATTGATATATACAAGGTTGTCCGCAATGGACAGCCCATGAGCCATAAGCTACACATTACCAACCCGCCAGCTCTTACCAAAATTAACCCGCATGTTTAATGAAGACTCTGCTGTGGGTTCTGGCAGCACTGATCAGTGTAGGGCTCAGCATGCTGGCAGAGGTGGGTGGCCATCGTTAATGTTTTAGTTCTTCCACTCTGATTAATTCGTCCGAGATCGCATCCCTGTTCTTCGCTATTCTCAGCTGCGGCAAAAACTAATTAGTAATTAGGGTTGATTGGGTTTAACTCTGATAACGGGAGCTCTTGCTTCCCGGGAAACCAACCTCGAGGTTATGTTCGCATGAGTCATTGTCTACGGCGACGATAGAAGTTGTGAAGAAGTCCGTCTCTGGAGTCATGGCGAACAAAACATCCAGTGGGAACAAGAGTGCATTTATAAAATATTCACGACGATCAGCTATATACTATAATATTATATATTATTAATAGGCTTATATATTTATATATATATAGTTACTATATATGCGAACTGAAACCCTCGTGTCGAACGGCCAGCCATATGGATATAAAGATATATATATATTGCACTGGGGGGCACATTTGTAATATATACATTTCTCCTAGAAGAACAGCGTCACCCAAAGTGTTAAAACTGCAATACAGTGCAGTGCCTAGAAACTATGAAATATTAAACGCGTAGATACGGTTACAGTTTCAGAATTAGCTCTGATATAGTCAGCGCGATATCAACGCGAATTCTCGTGAAACATAATATCGATGAACTAAACATAAATATAACTATTCGCACAGATTTCGCTATTTCCTTTTTTTAGAATAACCTTTAAATGTCGACGGGAAACAGATTCGCACCAGCGCCATCTATCGGCCACCCTCGACGCAAGGAGATGCCAAGCGTCATCCCGCTAGACAACAAAACGTCGCGAAACCGGAAGTACAACACTCCTCCCAGACCACGCCTACATCCGGCAACCAAGAAGGGGAGTAACAACAACAACAGCAGCAGCAGCGTGACGGCTAGAGGTGCGGGCAGCGACGACGACGACGATGACGACACCCCGCCGCCTAACCTTGAGAAACTACGGCAGGTGCAGCGGCAGCGGCTGGGCGAGATGAAGGCACAGCTAGCATCCACGGAGAAGCCGATCAGCCGGAAGGTGGCGCGGCCGGCGCCCGCTAGGAAAATGAGTGAGAGGATAGTGGAGGAGACGGAGAGAGAGATTGTCGATGTACGGGACAGGATCCGGGAGCAGGAGGACGCGCTGATGGTTTCCACCCGCGAACACCAGGAGGCGCAGAAGGTAATGTTGCTGAGACAGGGGGAGACACCTGTGCGTGTGTGTGCGTGTGTGTGTGTGTGTGTGTGTGTGTGTGTGTGTNCCTCGGGCCCCCTTCTTATGGTCTCTGTCGCGCTCTCGCTCCCTGAGCGATGGTCGGTCTTCCTGTTAGTGCTTCGGCCGTTCGCGGCTTGGGGCGCTCCGGGCTTGGGGTTAGCGGAGTCGGCGGCCTCCTCGCCCTGTTCCTCTTCTGGCCCGCTGCGTGTCCGGCCTGCTGTTTCGTGCGTCGCTGTTTTTCCGTCTCCTGTCGTCTCTGGGCCCTCCCTCTCTCTCGCCTCCGGACTCATCCTCATCATCTCACTCTCTTAGTCTCTCTCCAGAGATCTCTCTCTCCTCTCTCTCCTTTGGTCCGCGGGCGCGTCGCTCTTCCTACTCTCCTTCACCGCTCTCTCGTCTCTCTCGGGCTCTCTCCGTCTTTTTCCCTCTAACTATATACGAATAATATCGAGGAGGGAATTTGAAAGTATATATATATTCCCTTCAGTGATAAAACTAATAGGTCAAGTAGGTACCGGTCACCAGGGTAAATCAGCATGTACCGGCGCCTTGTTATCCATACCCTGGTTGTCCCAGCGGATAGATGGTTTCCCCGGCGGTTCCTCCCTGCTGTAGACACGCACAATATCCTTGCTAAAAGACCAGGCAGCTGCAATGACCCGACCGCAGGCCTATGCTACTGGGCAGGCCTGAATTCTAAATACAAAACAGGCGAGTGCTTAACATTAAGATCCTATATATATATATGTTGCGTGCGTGCGTGCGTGCGTGCGTGCGTGTGTGGTGGTGCGTGCGTGCGTGCGTGGTGTGTGATGATGCGTAGCGTGTGTGTGTGCCGTGCGTGCGTGCGTCGCCGTGAGTGTGTGTGCGGCGTGCGTGCGTGCGCCGTGCGTGCGTGCGCACGTGTGTGCGCGGTGCGGCGTGCGTGTGCCGCTGGCGTGCGTGCGTGCGTGGTGAGTGTGTGTAGTATACGTAATAATATGATAGATAGTGTAATGATACGTGTGTGTGTGTGTGTGTGGTGTGTGTGCGTGCGGCGTGCGTGCTGCGTGTGTGTTGTGTGCTGTGTGGGTGTGTGTTGTGTGGTGTGTGTGTGTGTGTGTGTTATAGTATAGTGTATAGATAGTGTAATGATACGTGGGTGGAAGTGGGTGAATGAAATGACTGATAATACAATCATCTGATGTCTTCTATAATTTCTAGCGTGAGATGTTTCATTTACCCGACATTTCCCATCGTCTTCAGCAGGAACAGTCCCGTGCCGTAGTTCTTTACAAATATGACAATCTCACAGAGTAGGAACAGAGTTACACCGATCAGGAAGGACTGTATCGCAAAGCCTGAAGACAAGAAGGAAATATTACAGTTACATAATATTACTGGAAATATGAGACTTTCACGCTATTCCACGTGTAGTCTTATAACCATGCTGATTTCATAATAGTAACAGTAATAATAATAATAATTCTAAGAATTTAAAGAAAGAATTTAATTAAAGAATTTTCTCTCGCAATATTTCGCAACAGATAGTCATACTAGAAATGTTTTTACAAATAGCAACTTCATCTGTTTTCTGTTCTCCGTTTACAAGGGTGTAAAGTAACGGAAAGGGAATAAACTATAGGTGATGAGTCAGACTTACCCCATGTACCGTACGCCACCTGGTAGCCATTTACTCTCAAACTCGCCGCCTGTAATGTGTGACAGAGGTCGAACATAATCGAATAGATCATTTAAATTTAACAAAATGGAGTTCAAGTCGATCACTGACATGTTATGACCGTTCACATCGCATGCGGCTTGAAACATGCACGTTTAAAAATCACATGTCATCTATTTAATCACTTTTAAAATAAACTTCAATCAAATTATCTATCGTACATAAATTATTTATTAACACAGTAAATAAATGCTACGTTACTACGGAACCCTCGCCTGGCTCCTTGTCTAGATAATTTCACGGAGCAACAGAGACAGCGATGTTTGAACGTGTCCCAGAGTTAAAACAAATCTTTTCGCGCCAAAATGGAGAACGCCGCGCGCGCATGCTTACCATGAAGGAGACGTTGTTTAGCTTGGCTAGGTGATTGTAGCGCCCCCTGTAGAGCTGGAGCAGGTCGTTGCGATAGGAAGCAAGGAAATGCAACATCATGAGGAATGTAATGCAGATAGCTATCGAGTTACCAACCATGAGACACACTGCAACAAGAAGCACGTGCGTGAGAGATTAGAACTCAGCGTTGACAGATAGATCGCACATACTATGGAATAGATAGATAGACATACATGTATAATGTTTATATGTTATACATGATATCATTGTGTATCCACATACATGTATAATGTTCTCGGTGTTCAATGGTTTCTATCGTGGAATTTTTCACATTTTCAAACCCTCATATTTCGGAATTTACAAAATTAAATCATAAAATAATCACGTTTGCAGCATCGCTCTTCTTTTGTAGCGCCAATGTAGTTCAAGAGTAGAGAAAACTATGTAGGATCACGTAGGATTGCGTTAGATTTATTAAACACGATAAATCTTTATTATCGTCTGCATCGTCTGCATCGTGACCTGCGTCGCAGATGTATAGTGCTGCCCTCTACACGCCGAAAAAAAAACATTTCACGCCACAAGCACGTAATAACGCCCACTCTGACGATGACCAATGTAGGTTGGAATAAACATGATATCAAGAGCATATTAAGAAGGCTTCTTTATACGCCTTCTTTATACGAAAGCCTTCTTATACGAAAGCCTTATACGAAAGTCGTATAAGAAAGCCTTCTGTATACGCTCTTTATGATATATATTCATGCAAGTCATAATGCCTGACTATTTATCTGTGATGTGTAACGCCTGTTGAACTAATATCATATATATGACTACAAAACGTTATGCATATTTTCGGTAGTACTACGCCGATAATAACGGGAGCAGGTAAAATGATCGGCATTTATCAAAAATATTAGTAGATTAATAATGATATATTATTTTAACAATATACAATTAAATATTGATTTATTGATATTCCGTCTGTATGTCTACGATGATGCAGAATATCTGCATTTTATGCGAAACTTGAGAACGTAATTTTCTCTCGAGGAATGGGAGGCGGTTTCAACTTGGCATGCAGCATGACGCCGCACGCACTCACAATGCGCGAGTTATGAAATGTTACTTAAAACAGTTTACAGTTTGTGATCGCGATGGCGAGCTGCGATGCAAAGCTAACATACCACTCGAATAGAATTAATGACACTTTGTGTTCGTATGGATCTGTTTTATATACATTGATATCATAACATGTATTACGTTTAGTAGTAGTTGTTTACCGGACGTAGACAACTTTTAACAAAAACACGTAGACGAAGATGAATCGGAGAAACACAATACAACTGTTGACGTCGAAATTTTATGCAAAACTGTACGATTCTATAATACATGCAGTAATTGATTTCGCTTACTAATATATTCCTATTATATTACACATTCGAACTAGTTCTTTCATGCAGTGTTAATACAGTTGTCTCACATGAGTGAGACGGCAAAATATCTAACGTATTTAATCTAAAGCACAATCTCTAATTTCTAAAAAAAACAAGTCGTATACACACTTATAATTGTTTATTAATGTAACAATTTGGTAATTTAACAATCGTTTAGCTATATATTTATAATGACATTAAGGAAAAAAGAGTACTTGAGAATACTTATGTAATATATATATATATATTTATATATCGTTTTCTTGATAACGTTCTTTGGAGAACAGCCAAACAGCCCAACTTGGGCAAATTCTAATTTGAATAAGTGATGAATGCATATTAAAAACGATTCACAGTTCTAGGTCTTAATTAAGTAACGGTTATAATTAATGGTAACAATGGTATCTAGCAATCTACTTCACAATTAGGCCAACAAACTGACTCGATTTAATTCTTAAAAGAACCTCTCACTAAATGAGATATGATGTCGATATTAGATTATTGTCGATACAGACTCTACGGAACTCCACGATGGTACTTCATATACTGTACATGTAATCTTAGACAGCAAAATACACTAAGTAAACACATAGCAATGAGCAAATAATTTCGAACATATATATCACCAGCGTTGGCCCAACGTCAGCATGTTATCTGGGATGATACACCCTCGTATATGCATACCGTGGTGTAATGCTCACATTCTCATAATCCACATGAACATTTCTATACGATAGAAATATGCATGGCGTGATTGTTTTCGTCTAGCTAACCAAGAAATACTTCAAAATATTTCTAGCTAGGCTGCAAATGCATGAATACATTTTCGCACGCGTGGACGCACGTAGCGCCATCTGGTGCATCGTCACCTACTACGATCTCCAAACCGCCATTGTGACGTCATATGGCGCGTAGCTTCGATGACGTCACCGCCTAGGTTCGGAGATGGGTCTCGCTATACAGGAGTCATCGCGATGGTAGCGGGACTGGCGGGGAAACCCAGCACACTGTTCATCGCTTCCTCCATGGCGCATCGGTAGCGCAACTCCCCCAGGTGGCGCTTGCGTAGCGCGACGAGGTTGGGATTTCGGTGCAGCGTGAGTGCGAGAAACCAGCGTATGCGCGCGCGCTTGCCTCGCTTCTGCCGATCGGTCGCAGGCGAGAAAACTGAAGTTAGACATAGACGTTCAATATGACTCAAGGTTGTCGCCACCTCTATACTATACGGTCGACCCTCTCACCCCCCCACACACACACACTCACACATACGACAGTACAGTGTCTGTCGCTACTCATTAAAGTTCATATGATCTGGTAAAGAAAACTAATAAACACGTAAATAAACACGCAAGCACGCAGACGCCACGACGCACGCACCCCCCCGGCGCAACACGGTTACAAGGCACGCACGCGACGCGACGCACACGGTTACAAGCAGCACGCACCAAGCACACGGTCATCAAGCACGCACGCACGCGTAATACATGGCAAGCACGGCACACGGGGCATCAAGCACCGCACGCACGCACATACGGCACGCACGCACACGGTTATAAGCATAGGCACCGCACGCACGCACACGTCATCGAAGGCAACGCACGCACCTCGGTTATCAAGCACGCGCACGCACACTGTCACAAGCACGACGTCGGTTATCACACGCACGCGACGCACACGGCATCAAGCACTCCGCCTACGCACGCACGGACGGTCATCAGCACCACGCGAACGCGCACACCCATCAAGCACCACGCCCCCCGCGTCGATCAAGCACGCACGCACGACACGGTCAATGCAAGCACCACCGGGTCATCAACCACGCACGCACGCACGCGTCATCAAGCACGCACGCACGCAGGTCATCAAGGCACGCACGCACGCATGGTCATCAAGGCACCGCACGCACTACGCGTCATTCAAGCACGCACGCACACGGTCAGTCAACACGCAACGGCACGCACACATCGTCGATTCAAGCACGCACGCACGCCCACGGTCCATGCAAGGCACGCCACGCACGCACACCGTCATCAAGCCACCACGCGCGTCATCAAAGCAGCCACGCACGCACGCACACGTCATCAAATGCACGCACCCCGGTCATCAAGCACGCACGCACGCACGCGGTCATCAAGCACGCACCGCACCGCATCAAGCACGCACGCATCGCGGTCATCAAGCACGCACGCACACGGTAATTAAGCACGCACGCACACGTTTATCAAGCACGCCAGCACTCGGTCATCAACCGGCAGCACGCACTCGTCATCAAGCACGCACGCACGCACGCGGTCATCAAGCACGCACCCGCACGGTATCAACCACGCCCACGCAACGCGTCATTCAAGCACGCACGCGACACGTCATTCAAGCACGCACGCAACACGTGGTCATCAAGCACGCACGACGCACACGGTCATCAAGCACGCACGCACGCCACAACAGTCATCAAGCAGCACGGCACGCCACACGTCATCAGAGCCGCACGCGGTCATCAAGCACGCACGCACGACACGTCATCAAGCACGCACGCGTCAGTCAAAGCACGCGACGCACGGCACGCGGCATCAAGCACCACGCACAGCGGTTCATCAAGACACGCACGCAGCGGCGCATCAAGCACGCCACGCACACGGTCAGATCAAGACGCAACGCACGGCGGCTCATCAAGCCACGCACGCTCATTCAAGCACGCACGCCACACGGCTGCATCAAGCACGCTGACTGCGCGCACGGTCATTCAAGCACTAGACACGCTCACGCACACGGTGTCATCAAGCAACGCACGCGGTTCATCAAGGCACCACGCACGCATACGCTCGGTCATCAAGCACGCACGCACACGCACCACGGTCATCTAAGCACGCACACGCGTCATTCAAGCACGCACGCACACGAGCATCATAGCACGCACGCACGCGGTCATCAAAGCGACGGCAACGCTACCGCGATTCGATAAGCACGCACGCACACGGTTCCATCAACGCGACGCACGCACGCGTCATTCAAGCACGCACCGCACCACGTTCATCAAGCACCGGCAGCCGTCACGCACGACGGTCATCACAGCACGGCACGCACACGCGTCAATTCAAGCACGCAACGCGGTTCATCAAGCACGCACGCACGCGGGTAATCATCAAGCACGGCGACGCACACAGGTTATCAAGCAACGCACGCACGCGAGTCAGCAACACGCACGACACGCACTCGGTTCATCAAGCACGCACGGCACTCGGATTATCAAAGCACGGCACCACGCGGCATTTCAAGCACGCAGGACGACTCGTTTCAATCAAGCACGCACGCACTCTCGGTATCATAGCATCGTCGCAACCGCGTCTCAAGCATACGCACGCACGCACCTTCGTTCTCAAAGCACGCACGCACTCGCGTTTTATCAAGCACGCACGAACAACGCGTTATTTTCAAGCACGCCGCACTTTCGTCATTCAAGCACCCACGCACTTTCGGGCATTGCAAGCACGCACGCACGGCCGGGCATTCAAAGCACCGCACGCCACGCACGCCGTTTCAGCAAAGCACCGCACGCACNGTGTGTGTGTGTGTGTGTGTGTGTGTGTGTGTGTGTGTGTGTGTGTGTGTGTGTGTGTGTGTGTGTGTGTGTGTGTGTGTGTGTGTGTGTGTGTGTGTGTGTGTGTGTGTGAACGCGCGCGTGTGTGTGCATGTAGATAGATACTAATGATATATAAGTGATATAAATGATTCTATGATACATATATAATATGCGCTGCACGTCATAACTCATCAACATCAACGCCTTAAACACATGCAGGACATATTTTCCGGGAATGCACGTGACCAGGTTGCATAAATTAATGCGATCGAGGCAGATATAAGGTATCATATAGACTCACAAGTACGTTGCATAAATTAATGCGATCGAGGCAGATATAAGGTATCATATAGACTCACAAGTACGTTGCATAAATTAATGCGATCGAGGCAGATATAAGGTATCATAGACTCACGGATATGAAGCTCATCACAATGCAAAAGGTGTTCCAGGGAAGACGATGCGTGTACCTGCAGGAACGCGGCGACAGCAAGGTGTCAGAGATTAGCCGTATAGCCGCGGGCCACGCATTATACATGCACACGTTATTCTCTCATATCCTCCCCTCCGCCGACCCCCACCCCCACCCACTCACCCCACCCACTCACATCCCGTATAGGGTATCACAACGATACGCACCGACCTCGTCGTGGTATTTGATTCGTGTTAGTGCAGGAGATTTAAAAGTATAGAGGGTTTGAACATATCATGGTTGGATCACGATATTGGTCCGCCGGCGCACTAGCCAATAGAGACGATGTTATCGCGATAGTTAATCGACGTTCTGACGTCAGCAATGATGTCACTGTGATGTCACTATGATGTCACCCATGCAGGGCATTCGATTTTACTTATCTTCTTGCAGGTCATCAAATTATTAAGTCGCATCGTGCAAGCAATATATATATATATATATATATATACTATTCGTTGTACATAGTGTTGATCTATTGATACTTACATCGGCTCGCTTGGAGGGGCAGGAGGGTTGTATAATACAGACAGGTTCGTTTCTCCTACCAGCACCTGCCTTAGCAGTTTTATCCTGCATGCAAAATACAACTCCGCCCTTCAATTGATCATCTGGGAGCTAAGCGTTATTTTAATACTACGAGTTTATCGATACTGCAATGAAAACTACATTATTCTAACACTTGTTGCCACCACACACGTGAATACATGTACGGGAATACCTGTTTTTTTTTAATTAAAAGTAACAATGGAAAAACGAGGGAAATCACGTCAAACATCAATTGAGAATATTCATTTGAACGTTAACTTTTAAATCGTCTACCAACCCGTCTGCTAACTGTTCGATCGTCGCATTTCCGGGCAGGAGTTCCTGTATTTTCCCGCCACTTGCTTCATCGACTAGTGATATGACGTCAGTTGCGTCATTTATCGTTACGTTGTCGAATCGACTTATCGCTAAACTAGAGAATAACAGGAAAAATATTCATCAGAATACAATTTAGTATTACATATATAATCAATATATTATATACGTATATATGTATATATATATATATATATATATATATATATATATATATATANCTCTCCCCCTCTCTCCCTCTCTCTCCGTCTTCTTAGCATAACTATATACGAATATACAATTTGAATATATAGTATATTCCCTTCAGTATACTAATAGGTAATAGGTACGCTAGCAACGTCACAGGTGAATGAGATGTACGGCCTTGTTATCATACCTGTTGTCCAGGGATAAGGTTTCCCCGTCCTCCTGTAGAAACGCATATCTTGCGAGAAGGAGCTGCATGACCACCAGGCCTAATGCTACTGCAGCCGGAATTCTAAAATACAAAACCAGGCGATGCCTTAACATTAATGATCCTATATATATATATGTGCGTGTGTGTGCGTGCGTGCGTGCGTGCGTGTGTGTGTGTGCGTGCGTGTGTGTGTGCGTGCGTGTGTGTGTGCGTGCGTGCGCGTGCGTGCGTGCG